TAAATAAATGCGTAAATAATGATATTTTTCCTAAATATTAGTCTGGACTTCAAACCGTGAATGTTGGTTCGGTTTTCGGTTTAGGCAAAATTCAAGAAAACCAAACCAAACCAAACCAAGGTTTACTCATGGAGAGGGGTTTTAAGATAAAACGACTCTGTACTCCGCTGATGATCTCTGGACGCTCTCCACCCTTGGCGGCGGCGGCGATTACCTCCCCAACCAATCAAGCTTGCAAATTTTGCACTTCCAGACTCTCTGCGACTGGTATGTTGATTTTTTTCCATGATTTTATATATTTTATTTGCTATATTTCTATTTATATTATGTTAAGAAATGGGAAAGGAAAGAAGTGTAGACTCCATCTTTCTTTCCCTTTTCTGTGTTTCCATCGCCGATCGATGATCCCCGCACACTCCACCGCCACTTTTTATCCTCTTATTGTCTCACTTTTGCTGCAACCTGACGCCACCACGCCAACCTCGTCTTCTGCTGCAGCACTCCATCAATCGGTCAATTGCATTCGATCTGAAATAGGGTCCGTATAGTCTAACCTAGGGTACTCGAGGATTGGATGATATAATGCTCAACGAACTTCGCTTCTTGACTAAGCTGTGAACTTGTGAAAACCTGCTGAGACATCTAAGTTACGTTCTTGTTATTGAGATAATAATCGCCTGTCAGTTCTAATTCTAATTTCTAGGATTATTTCTAAGTGAGAACCGATTTTGATTGCTCTGCAAATTCTTATTGATAATAGGATCACCATGGCTTCAATTTTTGTTCTATTCCCGTGAAATTTTTATAATACGAAACTATTAATTAGCATACTGCGTGGTGTAGAGCAATTGAAAATGACCCATTTCGATATGGATGCACTGTCAAGCAATGTGAAGTGTTTGGTTTATGAGCCTTAGAGCTTCATTGTTGAGTCCGATATTTTGTATGATTCTTCATTGATTTTCCTTAGTACTTCTTTGGAACTTGGAATTAGGGATTGAGAACCAATAACATTTCATATTACTGGACACTTTATACCCCCAAGAAAGTATTGATATCGCAAGTGAAACTTTCTATTTGAAGGTTGGACAAAAGGCTCGTTTACATTCTTTGTCATCATTATCTAGTGAGAAGTTTCAGTAGGTTTGGTGTTGGATAGTTCTAATTCACCAGTTGAAGCTTCTAATGCTTAAAACATGTTTTTGCATACTAAAATCCTGTAAGTGTTCCCTTGGTGATGTGCATAGGGAAAACTTGAAGAGAGGATGGCTACGAATAGCCTGAAGGGTATGATTGCTGCAGCACTCAATAAGGGAGTAACAGAAGCAAGGGCAAGGATATTTGGTCACGTACTTAACCCGACAGGTCAACGATCTACCCACAAGCTTCTGCGCAAAAAACTCATCGGTGACAAAGTAGCAGAGTGGTATCCATATGACATCAAGAAGGATGATCCTCTTATCATGGCTCGTCAAGAACAAGAGTACACTCTCTTTCTATTTTTCTCTGCCATGAGCTAGACATACCATTTGAACAAATTTTTTATGCATAAGATGTAGATTTTCTCCATCAATATATTGGGTGATATTAGGATAAGGAGTGATTTGTAGGAAGGTCATATGTGTTTAGCTTGGAAAATGGGGGGATGGGGGCTAGTGTACTACGGTAGCACGGAAAATTTCCCATTTCATTGCTTGCCATACTAGTAGAATTTACGAATAATGTAGGTTCCATGAAATAAATTAATATATCGACAGAAGTTTTTCCTAACAGATTTGTCTCAATATTCTGATCGTCTGCAATCTACTTTGCTAGGCGCTTGTCGAAGCTTGAAATGCTGAAGCGGCGTGGTAAGGGACCACCTAAGAAGGGTCAAGGCAGGCGTGCAGCCAAGCGCAACAAGTAGAGACAATGACAGTGGAATTGTTCCTGCTAAGGCTTTATCTTTTTGTTGTTTTTTCCTGCCTAAAGTTTAGGTTATGGACCAGTTTCTCGTAGTTGTAACGACTTCTATTCATTATAAGCGATATTTACTCTGAAGATTCTTCGTTCATAATTGAGCGCCCTTGAAGCAAAGTAATACATACTATATTATGCAAAAAGCCAGAAACAGAGCAGCGCACCATGCGTAGTCTGGAAACAAAAGGCATTAATAGAACAGTATACTTGTATGTTGGAGAGAACCAACTGCTAGAATTCATTACTAGAGCTTTGTTTCGTGAACAATTCATTGACTGCAAATTGATTAGGAATGATAATTTGATTGCCTTGGAGCTGAAATGCGGTTCATTTTCCTCCCAAGATCAAAATCTAAGGTCCTGCACTGGGCGTGGTTTCTTCATTGATCTGCTTTTGGGTCATTAATTTGTCGTCTTGATGAGCCATATCATAGGTTGCATGAAGACCAAAGAAAACATAATAGATAAGCATCACCAGTGTGCAGATTCCAAATCTTTCAAAAGCCTCAGGACCCAATGATCCCATGAGAAAGACGTTGGTTGCAATCGACAAACTCGGCAGCCATGGCACGAGAGGTACGCCCCAAACTTTTGGCTTTCTTTGCATTGGCAGAAGCAATGAAATCCCCAACGTCCCTAGAAACCATATGGGAACGGTCACGACGTATCCTACCCAACCATTTGGGTAAAGCCCCCAGTATGCAGAAGTTGCCATGGAGGAAGCAATGATGGTTATCAGTAGAATGAAAAGCTTCAACTGGTGTGACCGTGGAGTGACCCCTCTTGCATAGTATCTCCTGACCAGAAGCGCCACGGCCATCATCATAAAGACGAACAGCGTGCTGACCGACAACAAGCTCGCCAGAACATCCAAGCTAGAGAAGAAAGCAACTGAACCACTTGCTACGGTTATCAACAGTGTAGCATTAATCGGAGTTCCAGTCTTTGGATGAACAAGAGCAAACCAAGGAGGAATCATGTGAGCTCGAGCAATGTGCGTTATATACCGACCTTGCCCGAGCGCCCCAACCAGAAGAACAGTAGTCATCCCCTTCAGAGCACCAAGAGCCACCAAATACTTAGCCCATTTCATTCCAACACTCTCAAAGGCAACAGAGTAGGCTGCATCTGGGTTGATATCAGTATACTTCTGCATCATACTCAGCGACAGAGCCATCAGACAGTATATCACAGTGATAACCGACATTGATCCCAACAATCCCAAAGGTATGTCTTTTGATGGATTTTTAGTTTCCTCAGCCATTGTAGCAATGTTATCAAAACCCCCATATGCAAAGTAAACAATTGCAGCAGCTTGGAACACTCCTTTAACCCCAAATGGCACAAAAGGAGTCAAATTTGATTTATCAGCATGTACGAAACCAGCAATTATAACAAACAGAATCACCACTGTATTAACAGCAGAAGCAATCCAATTCAGGTATGAAGTTTTCCGCGTGCTGATCATCGCTATCGTTGCAGCGATCGTCAAGACCCCAACAGCAATTGGGTCAAGAAGATTGAACCCATCTTTCAGATTCGTGTGGATACGCAACGAATTGTCGGGTCTGTCCAGCAGCGAGGTTAAGTAAGAAGTCCAAGCTCGAGCGACAGCGGCGGTACCGACAATGCTCTCGAGGAGAATGTTGCCAGCAGTGATGAAAGCAGCAAAGTCCCCCAATTCAATCCTCAGGTAAGCAAAAGAGCCCCCTGCAACTGGGATTTCAACGGCGAACTCTGTATAGCAAAAAACAGAGAGCATTGCAGAAACACCGGAAGCTACATAGGACAAAACAATGGCTGGTCCAGCATGTTTATTGGCTTCTTGACCGGTAAGAACGAAGATCCCTGCACCAATTACAGCCCCAAATCCAAACCAGGTGAGATCCCACCAAGTTAAGCAGCGTTTCATTTCATTCTCACTTCGTTTTCTTAGCTCCCCGATTTCATTTTCGTCAAATGATCTGCTTTGAAGACGGTCCATGAACCGAAACCATGTCTGAGACAGAGCAGTCCGGTAATTGCTCAAGCTCTGGAAGGATTCTTCCGGCAAGAAATCTTGTTTGCTCCATCTCCACCAATAGCTTCTCTGCTGCTGAACAATATCGTCGCCCATTCTGCTCTCTATGGAAATGGGCATGTGACAACGTCGTCTATATAGAGTTTAGATCCGTGAGCAATGTGGGCACTGGCTAATGGTTAGGAGGGGGGGTTTCGAAGATGCCGATGGTGGGCTTGGATTGATGTTGCTTGTCTCGTAGCTCCAACCCGAAAATGACCGTCTTACAGAAATATCTGAATGCTCCCATTGACGTTAGGATCGAAGACTTCCAAGTCAACTACTTTGGCTGTGCTTGGTTGTTGCTCAATCTCATCAATTCTTTCATTGACTTTTATGCTTACTCTGTTTTCTGGTTTCTGTAGGATTATATAATCTTTTCCAAATATTCTCATGTTTACTGTGTAGCTGCTTGTCTTCCACCTGCTTCCTTCCAAAAATCTCTATTACCGTTTTCATTATAGTTTCCAAAATATATTCGTATTGTCTTTTTCGGTAAGAATAATGTTGTTATTACAGAATGTTTTGGATAAGAATTAACTACAAAAGACTAATTTAAGGTTTAACGAAGATATTGTCAGCTTTGATTCCGTCTCTTGCTCATGCTTAACAATTTTAAAACACGTCTGTTAAGTTTTCACACTCTTACAAGAAATATTTTGTTATTCTCTCCTGTGGGATCTCGCGATTCTAACACACTGTTCGGTGCAACGAGGGATCTCACAATCCACCTATTTGGGGGCCTAGCGTCCTCGCTGACACACCGCTCGGTGCCTGGCTGATGTGAGATCTCACGACGCTGACACACCACTCAGTGCGATGTGAGATCTCACAATCCACCCCCCATTAGGAACCAGCGTTCTCGTCTGGATTGGTCCGTTACATATCGACGTCAGTCTCACGATTTTAAAACAAGTCTATTAGGAAAAAGTTTTCACGCAGTTATAAGGAATATTTAGTTCTCCCCTCCTAACGAGAGGTGGATTGATCAACATATTCATAGGGATACATTGGGTCTTTTTTCACATGAAAAAGCAACATAGAAGAAAGAAAGAGGGTTTGGCGACGGCGGCGCTCAGATGAGGGCCAGCTGACGGACATTGATGGGGTAGGAATCGGAGGGTGGTCCTCTGAAAGCTCGACCAGCAAGAATGGCGGAGGCTGCTTCTGTTGGGTGAAATGCATCCCAAAACACGTACTCATTCCTGTAAAGGCATGGAAATTGCAGCGGCAAACATGTTATTTGCCCTCTGTTCAGCCCCACTCCACAGCACGCCGTGTCCACAACTCGAAATCCTGCATTGCATTTTTAATGTACTTAATAACTTCCCCCTGCTAAGCTAACCATTAATGGCGATCATCTCTCACCGTAGGTATCAGGGTTGTTCAAGATATCGCCAAAAATGGCATACACATTGACGTAGACGAAGGTGGATTCAGGGTGCTGGCTGTTCAGCTGGGTTACTAGCGATCTTAGCCCCTCGTTGAAAGCCCCCAGCATCTTGTTCACATTATCAACGCACCGCCCTGGAGTGGCTGCGCCAGAAGCCCTCTGGTTCGGGATGCAGCCCAACGGCCCCACTCCTGCCACCACGATCTTTCTCAACCCTACGCTTTGAAGCGCCTGGGAATTGAAAATATAGGTTAGGAATCACATATCTCTACGATATAAAATATTGTCTACTTTGAGTGTAAGCTCTCGTAGCTTTGCTTTGGATTTTCCCAAAAGGGCTCGTAACAATTGACATATATTTCTTACTGATAAACTATATAAACCTTCCTTGTATTAGCTAATATGAGACTCCTTCCATTAATCCTCTCCTCGAACAAAGTACACTATAGAGCTTTCTCTTGAGGCTCTCATGGAGCCCTCGTCAATCGAGACTTGACTCCTCGAACACACCATCATTGTCCCTTTGTTCGACAATTATTAAGGATTCTATTGACATGGCTAAGTGAAGGGCATGACTCTGATACCATGTTAGAAATCACAAATCTCTACAATGGCATGTCACATCGTCATTGTCCCTTTGTTCGACAATTGAGGATTCTATTGACATAACTAAGTTAAGAACATGACTCTCGTACTATGTTAGGAATCACATATCCACATATCTCCACAATGACATAATATTGTACACTGTGTAAGTTCTCATAGCTGAACTTCTCCAAAAATGTCTGGTAACAGTGGAGATGTTTTTTTACTTATAAACCTATGATCATCTCCTAACTTAGTCTGTATGGGACTCTCTCCCAACAATTCTCAACGATATACAGTATGAGAAATCGAAAGTGGGTTAATTAGAAAAAATAAAAAAATAAAAACTCACGAGAAGCTGGCGAGAATATCGGTTTAGGAGAAGGTTAGCGAATTGATTAGGAGTATATCTGAATCTGGAAGTGTAGAGCTCCGGCAACAGGTAGTTGTTTATGTAATCGTTGCTTCCAAACACCAAAAAGGCTAAGGATTTTGATAAATAACGACTCAGATTCCAACTCCCCATTGATCTCCTTAACTCATTCAAAGTGCTTTCAAAATTCACCACTTGCTGGCTCAGGCTGTACCTCTCGCCCTGTATCCAAAACCGATTCGAACGATTAAAAACATGTTTTTGAATGATTTTGAACTTACACAACAACCCATGAACGCATACGTAGTGTCTGCCCGTTTCATCGAGGATTCCGGCAGCAGCCGAAGCATAGTTGACACCGTGAAGTATTCCGACTCCGGTGGTGTTTGGATTCGCAAATTCCGGAGCGTTCGGAATTCCAAACATGTCCACTGCAAGACAATCACACGTTAAAACTCAACCATCAAACAGGCTCTAAACAAGTCTATAAAGAAAGATTAACAGTACCAAACATATCTATAACGGTTCGTCCATTCGAAAACCTCCCGGTAGGACCTGAAAGAAAATCAATCCCATAAGGATAATAATTGGCTCTAGCAACTGATCGGAGAAAATTATTGTTGCCAACATCCACAAGAGAGTCGCCGAACACGAAAATCGCCGGAACCCCATTTGTCGCTGAAACCGCCTCGTCGGAGCATCGGAGGAACACGAGGAGGAGGAGGAGGAGCAGGGCGGCGGAGGCGGCCAAACGAGGTGGCTGGATGATCATGGTGAAACAGGGGATGAGTAGAGGTAATGTGTAATGGTTGGGGAATGTGGGATTATATATATATATATATAATAAGCGTAAAAGAGGAGTGATTTTGGTGTGATTAAGGGAGGAATTCATGGCTTTATTACAGTGTTTAGGGTAAAGATTATAACCGAAAAGTTTGTCAGTTTTCTTGATGCCCTTTCTCAGGCTCATGCTTCTTGCTTCATGTATATCATTTTGTGGCCACGTGTTCTTCATGCATATATCTCTGCCTACTACGAGGCTTAAACGTTATAGTCAAGGTTGTCTGTCACGACGTGATCGACAATTTTATAACCTGTTATAGTCGAGACCGTCATGATGTGATTTGACAATTTTATGGTCGTGTTATTATATAATTTGTTCATACATTACTAATATTAATATCTTTTACACAAGACGAACCTGACGACGGTACAAGTCGAATAGACAAGATACGTGTCAAGAACACGAAGTATTACTTTTCCTATCAATGAAAGCTTCAACGGGTACTTTCTTCCAATAATAACTATGATCCACCGTTCATAAATTATCTATTAATATTTTAATATTATTTTGGAAAAAATATATTAATCATAAAAAATTTTAAATGATTTAAAATATTCTTGAAGTATTAAGGTTGTTTTTTTAGATTTTTTTTTATTTTGAAAGTTAGTTTTAAAAAGTAGTTTTAGAAATATTTTTGGAAAAAGTGGTTGCAACTTTTTGCATTTATGTCTGTTTTTGGGTTAGTTTTGCAAACTACCAATTTTGAATGAGCTTTGATTTATTATCACTTCAGCTGCTCCTGATGTAAGGGATTACGTGTTACATTCAAATCCTTCTCAAGAACTACCTAACCTTAATCCATGTTTGAACACCCAATTATAAATAATAATATTTATTAATCAAAGTCAACTATGCATTAGTTTTCAAATTTTCATTTATAGACTTTTTTTTGTATAATCTATATTATCAAATTCAGAATCACAAAGCTATGATACTCGTTCCTCTCTTCAATCGATGTGGTTCCACACATGTTTTTTAAACACACCCCTGGTATTTGGCTCTGATACTCGTTCCCCTCTTCAATCAATGTGAATCTCACAATCCACCTCAACGTATGGCTCTTATACTCGTTCCTCTCTCCAATCAATGTAGATCGGATAATCCACCCATTGTGTTAGATATCATTAGTAACCACTCAAACCCACCTCTTCTTTAGGTTTATAAAACAAGTCTGAAGCATATCAGTTATATAATTGTAACGACTCAAATCCACTGCTAGTAGATATTGTCATTTTTTGGGTTTTCCCTCGAGACTTTAAAACGTGTCTAATTCTTCTAAAAGGTGTTTCGTTCTACGATAATAATTGATTATACTTATGTATATTTTATATTACCATGTTGAATTGATATACTAATTTATTTATGTTTTTGTAATTGTATTCCCCAATCACAATGGCTAATTTATTTATTCAAAAGTCTTATTCGCTACTCCACTTCGAGTGATTCAATAAATAAGTGTCAAGTTTGGTTCAATCATTCATCTTCAGATTCCCAATCTCCAATTCCTCACTAACCCCACCATGGCCAAACCTCATCATCATCTAGTGTTCATCTGTAACCCCGCAATCGGAAATTTAGTTCCGGCCGTGGAATTCGCCGTCCGATTAGTCCATCAAGACCCTCGTTTTTTGGCCACTTTCCTCGCCCTCGACATCCCTGGAAGACCCCTCGTCAATGCCTACACCCAATCACGTTTCGCTGCTTCCCCTTCTCAAAACATCCAATTCATTGCTATCCCATCTGCCCACCCCCCATCTCCCGCTCTCTTCCATTCCCACATCGCCTATTTGTCATTGTATTTTGAATCTTATAAGCCCCACGTCAAGCAAGCCATTATTGACCTCCAGAATCCCCAAAATTCCGCCCGTGTCGTTGGGGTTTTTGTCGATATGTTCACGACGGCGTTCATCGATGTTGCTAATGACCTCCAAATTCCTAGCTACCTCTTCTTTGCGTCTCCGGCTACTTTTCTTAGCCTCATGGTTCAACTACCTGAGATGGATCGTGACCGAGTTGAATCCTTGATCCGTGACTCGGATGCTGAGTTTGCTTTGCCGAGTTTTGCTCACTCGCTGACTTCCAGTTTGTTGCCGTCCACTGTTTTGAAGACGCGGGATGGTCTTTTCTGGTACGCCCATCACGGGCGTAGGTATGGCGAGACCAATGGGGTTGTTATTAATTCGTTTGCAGAGCTTGAGCCTCATGCGCTGAGCTCGTTGGGTGAGATTCCACCGGTTTATGCTGTTGGGCCTTTGCTTGATTTGGGCGGCCCAGCCCAGTGGCAGCCGTCTCGAGCCACCCACCAGAGCGTCCTGAAGTGGCTCGACGGTCAGCCTGAGCGGTCGGTTGTTCTGTTGAGCTTTGGGAGTATGGGAAGTCTTGATAAAGCTCAAATTAGAGAAATTGCCTTCGGGCTCGAACGGGCTCGGTTCCGCTTTGTGTGGGTCGTGCGTCAGCCGCCCAAGTCCCAGTTAGAGCACCCCGACGACTACTCCGATCTAGACGACGTGTTGCCGGATGGGTTCGTAACTCGCACGGCTGGGCTGGGATTGGTCTGTGGGTGGGTCCCGCAGGTGGGTAGAGTTCATTGAGTCCCATCTTAAAAAAAAAAATAAAAATCAAATAAAACAATATTTGTTAGGGGTGTATTTTTAACAGTTATATAATTAATTTTTGATTTTTGATTGGATGACAGGTGAGTATTTTGAGCCATGGTGCAATTGGAGGGTTCGTGTCGCATTGCGGTTGGAACTCGATTTTGGAGAGCTTATGGTTTGGTGTGCCAATAGCAACGTGGCCGGTGTATGCAGAGCAGCAAATGAACGCCTTTGAAATGGTGAAGGAATTGGAATTGGCGGTGGAGTTGCGGCTGGATTACAGGGAAGGAAGCAAGCTGGTGACGGCGGAGGAGCTAGAGACAGCGCTGAGGCGCTTAATGGACGGCGGTGATGAAGTCAGGGCGAGGGTGAAGCGGATGGGAGAGAAGTGCAGAACTGTCCTACTGGAAAATGGTTCATCGTATACGGCATTGAATTCTCTGATTGAGAAATTAACGGCTCAGATTTTGTAATATTTTGGCCTTGGAATAACAAAATAAATAACAAAATAAACAAATTTTTAATCTTCATGCCACCTTATCTTGTGTACGACGTCGTTTTCAAAATTATTAAATATATCCATTTTTAAATTCTAAATTTATTTTTCAATAAATATTAGTTGAAATTGAAACAAACTATACATAAAGTTTTGTGGATCCTACCTAATTTTTATTATTCAATTTTAATTTATGTATAATAATTTCTTATAGTATTAAATAAAATTTTAATTATAGCATAGTATTGTTTAGTTAATTAATTAGAAATGATGAGATCTAGCCTCGGTTCAAGGGGGAACGAAGCATTCTTTAGAAATCTCTTTCTAAACGCATTTTAAAATCATGAGACTGACGGTAATAAGTAACTAGGCAAAGCGGATGGTAATAAATACTTAAGCAAAGCAGACGATATCTGTCAGCGGTGGGCTTGAGGTGTTACAAATGTTGGAATATAGAATCTGATGCTAGATCACGTAGAGATCTATTTGGAAGATATGTCATAAAGATCTGATAGAGATATATATGATAGATATTTGGCAAAGATTATATTTGGAAGATATCTATTAACATCTGATATAGATATATTTGGTAAAGATTTGATGTACTTTCTCCATTCTTTGTATTATTTGTACAATAATACTTTTAGCCAATATTCCTAGTTGTATTTTCTCTTTCCTGTTATTTATATTCATCTTGTTGGAGTGGGTGTTGTTGAACGATCCTAACAACTGATATTAACAATTGGTATTAGAGCTAACAACTGGTACGGATCCTAAGAACAAATGGTATAAGAGTCAGCGAGGACGAAACATTGTTTTAAAATTGTGAAACTGAAAGCGATAGGTAAGAGAGAAGGTGTGAAGATAGAGGGAATTAGAAAGAAGGGATGAGATAGAGGTTGAAAAGTGAAGTGATGGTGTATTAGAAGAAAGTGGCAGTGGAAGTGGAAGAGGGCAGAGGGCGGAGGGCGGAGGGCGGAGGGGGTTGCTTGAAGGGAGGCGGAAATTTCCAAAAATGGAGGAGAGAGGTTTGGAGTTTTAGGAAGGGGAAAGGGATTGACAAGAACAACACCAACACCAACACAACAACAACAACAATAAGTGTGAAGAGTGTTGCGGAAAAGGGGAAATGATGAATTGCAGAAAGGAGAAAGCAATGTGAATGATTAGATCAAACCAACACCCCTCCCCTTCACCCTCCTCTGTCTGCGTCTTCAAGATTAGATAGATAGAAAGAAAGAAAGAAAGAAAAAAAGGATGAACTTTTTGGTAGTTCACGCCACACCCCAAACTGCCACCAAATCCATCAGTAAATGAGATTGGATTGGATTGGACGTATGATCTCACTGACAACTCTCTCTCTCTTTCTCTTTTCTTTCTTTTATCTTAATTTACTTCTTCATCTTCACTAACAAATTGGGATTCCCTCATTCACATGTATATCCTCTCTTTTTTACCTTTTTGCTTTTAACATGGTGTCACAGTCATGCTCTTAACTTAGAATCTTTATGTGTCAGAACAAAAAAGTGGCAAGCTTCGAACGTGTAGTCAAATGTGACTCAAACGTCAAACAAATGGTGCTCCAGTTATTAAAAGGAGTATTCTCACATTGACCCATTAAAAAAAGATCATGGAAGTAACACTGTCTCATCATTTCGATAAGGCCTATCATACCATAAACACTATTAATAATTCTAGACAAATAAAATGTGATGTCCCACGTTCGTTGGGAGGAAAACAAATCATCATTTATAAAGGCGGGGAAACCTTCTCTAGTAGATGCATTTCAAAGCTTCGAGAGGAAGCTCGAAAGGAAAAACCTAAAGAAAGACAAAATTTACTAGCAGAAGACTGGGTATTTACATAAACACTTCAACTTATACGGGACCTAGTGGATCTGGGTTGTTATTATTGATTTATTTATGTAAGTATGGTTGAATAGGGTTGGATTAAGATAGTTGGGAGGATAAGCAGAGCAGCGAAAATAATGAAAAATGTTGAGAAAGAAAGAAATATTAGAGCAGCAGAAAGAATGCAGGACATGGGCATGGGAGGAGGAGGAGGAGGAGGGGCCATGGCCATGGCCATAGCCACCCATATGGGCCCCCAATTATTTGGGAAATATAAGTAGATTACATGATGCCTCCTCTGCATTTTTCTTGTTTAAAGCTTCAAATTCAGAATTACAAATCAATCAAACAAACAAACAAACTTGTTTATATATATATATATATATAGAGAGAGAGAGAGAGAGAGAGAGAGAGAGAGAGATGCCCCTTGTCCTTCCTACCTCGGCCATTGACAAAACAACTCGAAATGACAGATGCAACATTCAGACTCACACTGCCATTCACACTCGCCAACAGACACAACAAAAAGCAACCCAATTAATATTAATTATTAATTATTAATTATTTTATTAATTCATCCCAAATCCACCCTATAAAAACAAGTGCAACTCCCCACCCATGGTTTCTAAGTCACACCCATTACCCTTTCAAACATGAATTTCAGTCACAGCATGGACATCACTCTTCACTCCTCCATGCCTCTCCCCTTCGCCTACAATTTCTCGCCCTCCAATTGCGCCATTCTCTCCGCCTCTTCCACTGCCTCTTCGTCTTCTTCTTCCTCTTCTTCCAATGCCGGGCTTCTGTCCGGCCCCATCATGGATACCAGAATATGGAGTAAACTGCCGCAGAAGCTGCTGGATCGGGTGGTCGCGTTTCTTCCGCCGCCGGCCTTCTTTCGTGCCCGTTGCGTCTGCAAGAGATGGTACGGCCTTCTCTTTTACGCTACCTTTCTCGAAACATACCTCCAACTCTCCCCTCATCGCCGCCACTGGTTCCTGTTCTTCAAGCTCAAAGGCCTTTCCAGCCACATTTACAGAAATAATACTAACTCCCCACTTGGAGGACCCGCCTCCAGACCCACCTACGAGGGGTAAATGCCTAAACCCTTTTTTTTTTTTTTTTCTTTTTCTCCCTAGGTTTAAAATATTATTATTTTTGTCACGCATGACCGAGAAGAACCAATCATTTCTTATAAGAGTATGAAAACATTTCCATAACAGATGTTTTTTAAAATCGTTAGACTGAACTATATGTAACAAGTGACAATATCTGCTAGCGGTGAGCTTGAGTGGTTACAAATGGTATCTGAGCCAAATAACCGATGGTGTGCCCGTAAGCAAGGGGGTGGATTGTGAAATCCCAAGTCGATTATAGAGCGGAACAAAATATTATAAGAGTGTGAAAACCTCCGCTTTTTAAAATTATGAGACTGATGACTATGTGTAATGAGCAATAATATCTGCTAACGGCGGATTTGAGCAGTTACAAATGGTATCAAAGCCAAATAACAGATGGTGTGCCAGAATGCTCAGAATCCCACCCAAGGGGTTGGATTGTGAAATCTCACCTGAGTTGTAGAGCTGAATAAAATATTTCTTATAAGAGTGTGTAAACTTCTTAATAACAAATGAGTTTTAAAATTGTAATGTCCACAACAGTGATAAGTAATTAGCTAAAGCTAACAATATCGGATAGGTACCAGCTTAGTTACAATTTTATTCTCTATAATTTTAATTTTTTATTTCTTTTAGTTTCAATAATTTTAAGATTAAAATAATTGTAAAAAATTGTGAAAATTTAGAAATAAATATCAAAATATCAAATTTTGATAGGTACCTGTTTGATCCATATGACGTGGCATGGTACCGGCTGTCGTTCGCTCAAATTCCGGCGGGGTTCTCACCGGTGGCCTCCTCCGGCGGGCTAATCTGTTGGGCGCCGGACGAGGGGGGTCCCAAAAGTCTAATCCTATCGAACCCAATTCTAGGCACCTTATCTCAGCTGCCCCCGACAGTAAGACCACGCCTATTCCCTTCAATCGGCCTCGCCATAACCCCATCGTCCATAGACGTGACGGTGGCCGGAGACGATCTAATATCCCCTTACGCCGTGAAAAATCTAACGGCAGAAACCTTCCACATAGACAGCGGCGGATTCTACTCAATGTGGGCCACCACCTCAGCTCTGCCACGTCTGTGCAGCTTCGAATCAAATCGAATGGTCCACGTGGAAGGAAGATTGTACTGCATGAACTACAGCCCATTCAGCATCCTGGCATACGACATGTCGCAAAACAAGTGGTGGAAAATCCAAGCACCAATGAGGCGGTTTCTACGGTCGCCAAACCTGGTGGAGAGCCGAGGGAAACTGCTGTTGATGGCGGCGGTGGAGAAGAGCAAATTGAACATACCAAAGAGCCTGCGGGTTTGGGGGCTGCAAGGGTGCGGAACGACGTGGATAGAAATGGAGCGAATGCCGCAGCAATTGTACGTGCAGTTCGAGGAAATGGAAAAAGGGTGCGGGTTTGAATGCGTGGCGCATGGCGAATTCATGGTGGTTTTAATTAAAGGGTGTTGGGATAAGGCGGCGCTCTTGTATGACATGTCCAAGAAACTCTGGCAGTGGATTCCGCCGTGTCCCTATATTGGCAACGGCGGCGGCGGCGGCGGCGGAGAAGAGGTTCTTCATGGGTTTGCTTATGAGCCCAGATTGGCCACGCCAGTCACTGGACTCATCGATCACTTCTCCCTTCCCTTTCACAATTACAACGCTAATCATCAGTGATGAACAGAAAATAATTTAGCGTTTTTTTTTTTTTTTTTTTTTTTTTTTTTAAATTTGTT